TTTTTGAATTATTAACGAAAAACCACGGACCAATCACATCGCTCGAGCAGCGCGCGCTCAACCGCGATAGCTAGCCCGATTGCTGGCCCGAACGTCCTGTCTCGAGCCAGTCTATTGCGGCTGAGCGCGCGCCACTCGAGCGATGTGATTGGTCCGTGGTTTTTCGTTAATAATTCAAAAACCAAGCACGATACGACAATTTTGCAAAGGAAATTGTTGTTTAGAATCGTCTTGGCCCCTCATTTCCGATTCTTACACTAATTCTAGGACATCCTGTATGTACATTACAGTGGCTTCTTCGTCTTTGATGATGCATTACACTCTTCTTAGTAAATTTTTGGTTTTTGGAATTGTATTATACTCCCCTTGAGTGGTTAATCTAAAGATCTTTCTTTTTTATATATTTTTCTGTCTTATGAACTAAAAAAGTGAATCTTTCGATATTTCGATCATTGAAATCCTTTCATCCAATCGAGAATTATGATTTTTTAAAGTTTCAATCGAAAATTCCTTCCAAAATATTAAACTATTTTTGTCTTATCTTTCGGAATTTTTTTTTCTCGTAAATAACAAAAGTTAGACCTAAATGCATGTTATTTGACAAAATACGCTTCAATTTAACCGAATCCAAAAATTATTTTGATATAGAATTTCAGATCTTTAAAAATATATATATGCAAATTCTTAAGTAGAGTCATTTATTTTCACATAAATCTCGTGTAACTAAATTTCACAGAAAAATAGAATATGTATTCATACGTCTTTATCATGCAACGTAACTAATTGGAATAAACAAAGACATTCGTTAATTCTCAAAACACCCAAAAACACATATATTGTGCACACATCGCACAGCTGCACACGCACTATATATCATACACACATTATACAAATGCACAGCATACCTTAGAAAATAAATAATAATACATATAAATTGATATAATACTCTCGTTAACTTTATCATGTACAGTATAAATCTACAGAACAAACATACATATTTCTAACTATTACTATTCGGTTGGCATCTGCATATTATTGAGATACGTCTTGCTTTAGGTACATGTTGTCCTTCGAAGTAAGATTCTTCGTTCTTCAAGATCTCATGATTATAATCATACCTTGCTACGCCACTGTAAGATGCCCATCTTTAGTAAAAATATATTTTTATAAATGAATGTTATCATACCTCATTACATATAAAGATCTCCTTGGTAATAGAAAATCATGTTTGGTTGTTGTTTCCTTTCCAACCATTGTAAGTCTCATTACACTGTCGCTCAATAGACTTAAACCAGCGATGATGTCTCCGCAGAACTGTAAGAATAGAAGGAAAGGAAGTCGTGCCTTGAATATGAAGCTAACACACCAGATACGTACCCTAATACTATCGACGTGTGGTTTTATCCATCCCTCGGGTGCTAGGTCCAGAATGTGTATCAAGGTAAGTTGACTCGTATCTTTAGGAAATGCTTTCTCACGAATTTTGTTTATAATCTTTACGTTATTTTCGTTCCATTGCTTTCGCTCTGTCTCTCTATAAGCATGTATCGCCTAGAATCAAATAAAACTAATAGGTAGTGCGATTACAACCAGTTATGTTTTACTCACATCGTCCCAATGGGATTGTTCGTATCGAAGTCTCTTCATATAAGGATCAACTTCTTCGATCAAAGAATTTTCCTCTTGGACGCTGACAAAATTTGGTATAACTTGCATGGTATTATAGAGTTCTTCTCTCCAATTCTCTGCATTTATGTCGATATCGGTATAGGCGACAGGCGATCGCGAATAATGCTTTAAATTGACGCGATTTAAAGTTTTAGACACAAAGTTTGTCAATGTACAAAGCTTGGTCGTCATCTTCCCCGATGTTTTGTCGATGAAGGTTAGCAACGGAGATGTTCATTAAAAACTTGCTAAATCTAAAATTATACGCGATCGATGACGATAGGGAAACGTAATCACTTTATAATACGAATAATGAATATATATAGAATTTGTTTGAAGGAAACTGATAGAAAAATAAACGAGCTCAAAGAACTGTTGTGTGAGTAAAGTGTATGATTTTAATGATTTTAATGGTTCTAATCAGTTAGATTACATTTGAAAGTTTCTCCAGAGGATGGTGAAAAATAATCGGTATTGATAATTAACGACACACGTTGATGAAATTTTTATGATAAGTATGGATTAAGATAAAGTATGAGGTGCCTCGTACCAACGTTGACGTTGGTATAATAATTAACAATAATGCTCTCAATAATGAACATTTTGGATTCAAACTTTTTTTCGTTATACATCTCATGTAACTCTACGAAAAAGATATAGAAAGTTTTTCTCTAAAGTGAAAACCTGATTTTTTAAAAATGAAAGAATGATCTAGGGGGTTAGGTTAGTTCGATTTCGATCAAAATCAAGATCTAAAATTGTCTATAAAAATTATTTTTGCTTCCTATGTCTAAATGAACCATATTTTGTCAAATAGCATATAGGCGTAACTTCTATTATTTACGAGTAACAAATTCCGAAAGAAAAGAAGATAAATGATTTACGAATTCAGTGAGAATTTCCGATTAATAGTTGAAAAAAATCATCACTCTTGATTAAGCAAACGGATTTCAATGATCGAATCGGGAAACTGCGTGGCATTAGACAAAGAATTTTTTAAAAATATTGAACTATCGAAAGAGTCTGTTTTATAGTTCGTTTTTGTGGAAAAATACATAAGAAGCTGCCTAATTTTCAAATTTTCATAAATCTCCTAATAATGAACATTTTGGAATGAAACTTTTTTCCCTTGTAGATCTTATGGAACCCTACGAAAAACATTTAGAAAGTTTTTGTCTAAAGTGAAAACCCAATTTTCTAAAAATAAACGAACCATTTTTACAAGACTTCCCAAGAGTAAAAAATTATTTTTCACTTTTTCGATCGAAATCAAGCATTTTTCGTTAAGTGTCGTATAGCAATTACTTCTATTATTTACGAAAAAAAAGTTCTCAACAAAAGGAAGAAAAATGGTCGGCTTTTTTGGTCCGTTGAGTATATGGATTGTTCTTGAGTAGTACTAGGCCTTGACTAGTATACAGGGTGTCTCAGAAATGTTAGAGATTAGAATCCTTGAAAGAGGTGATTAGGGGAGTGATTTGAAACAACTTTTTCCTTAGCAAAAATATTGTCCGAGGCTTCGTTGAGGAATAATTAATAGCAACACTAACCAATCAGAGCGTGAAGCGGCTGCACCCTCCGACCAATCGGAGCGCGAGGCAGCCGCGCTTATAGGTTACTGCGGGCGCTCTACTGGCATACTCGCGCTCTGATTGGTCTGTGTTTTCCGTTAATATCTCCTCAACGAAGCCTCGAACAACATTTTCGCTAAGGAAAAAGTTGTTTCAAATCACCTCCTGAACCACCCCTTTCATGGACCTCCAACATCTTTGAGACACCCTGTAATTCTATTTTTCTTTGGGGCGACTAAAGGCGCCAGTTTTATGATCGTAATAGATACTTTACTGACTCTAAAACCAGTGCGCATGCGCAACTGGGAGCCAAGTCTGGCGTGGCAGCTAGCGCCTCGTACCAATTGCGCAGGAATTAAAATCGTGGATCGTCGATATCTTATCTGCTCTTAAACCTCACGACGCAACTTTGAATTACCACCGGCAGAGTTTTTATCGACCATTGGACCATGGTTTCATTTTCATCCTTCACAATAAAACTAGATCACACGACGTCAAGGTTACGAATCGAATTTACTGATGTTGATATGTCAGAAGAATGTGATATGAGCGTTTCAAATCATGGTCTCGACGGAGATCAAAGACTCGTTGGCTTTCACAGCATCAGTTTGCACGGTTCTGCAATTCTTAGCCGGCGTGTAAGTAGAAATGCGGGGCCAGATCTGTTACGTCTTTTCTCTATCGCAGTTTCAAATATTTACAACGTTTGTTTGCATTAAACGTGGCACACAGTATAGCCTTTCAACATAACATAGAATTGTTAGATGCAGAAGCTGAATAAAGTTTCAAGAAGTAACTCAACGATGGTAACAAACATTATAAAAAGCTTCTTTTCTCTATCGCAGTTTCAAATATTTACAACATTTGTTTGCATTAAACGTGGCACACAGTATAGCCTTTTAACATACCATAGAATTGTTGGATGCAGAAGCTGAATAAAGTTTCAAGATGTAACTCAAAGATGCTAACAAACATTGTAAAAGAATCTACAGTAGCAGAATTTTCCAGCAATTATTTTCATGCTTAGGCAGAATCGATTCTTTGACGTATAACTAGAGAGTTTTAGGAATGTGTTTTAGGCTGGTGTGCAGAAAGATCATTAAAAGCGGCACGACAGGAAGTAGCTCAGCCTTGGCATTTGTAACATGTTATACATCGTAAGTGTTTGAATAAATGACGAATTACATAATTCATAATTAGAGTTGTATTTATGTATAATATGTTGCAGATGCGTCTTATGGATGAGATACGGTACTCTCATTGGAGACCGGTTTATATTGGTAGTAAATGTCTTTGGAACGATTCTTCAAGCATCTTACATTTGCGTGTTCGTTTTATATAGCGTACAGAAATCAAAAACTGTGAAACAAGCAATTGCTGCGACTTTGTTTCTCGGAGCCGTGTACTTTTATAGTTTCTACGAGGAAGATCGAGCATTAGCAGCAAAGTATGTCGGGTTGCTCAGTTGTACGGTGACAGTATTGTTCTTCGCATCACCATTGATGATGCTGGTAAGTTTCGTCTTCGTTTCCAAACGAAGGTATCGGTAGTCAGCGATTCGAAGTGGATAATTGAACGCATTGTTTTCTAGGCGCACGTGATAAGGGTGAAGAGTACAGAGAGTTTACCATTTCCCATTATCGTGGCCTCTTTGATAGTTTCCTCTCAGTGGTTCACGTACGGTTGCCTTCTCAACGATCGTTTCATACAGATACCAAACTTTCTAGGCTGTGTGTTGTCCGCATTTCAGCTTTGTTTCTTTTTAATTTATCGAAGCGATCGGATCTCAGAGGCTCACTTAATATAACTTTATTCTTAAACTATTTCTACACAAGTGTAACACCGATGCATTTTTTCATGTACTCATGAACGTTATTTAAAATAAGATTACTTGTACTCACGAAAAGAAAAAAAATATATATATTTTTAGAAATAACATTCGAATTTGTTTCAATCAAATTTCTTCGCGGCAGAATATAGTTCTGAGTTTTGTCGCGACGCGACGAAATTCCCTAGCGAAATTCCCTAGAGGATAAAAACGAATCAATTCGTCGAGATCAATTTGTAAATAAATAATAAATGATATTTTCTTTTCATGAATTGAACGTTTCATCTTTTATAGAAATTATTTGTTTTACCAAATAGTACTTGGTTTTTTATTCATATTAAAAATAGTAGCTTACATAGATAAGGAAAAGGGGATATAATGTAAGGGAAGGGGACAAATGTGAAAACCATGAAGACTGTATATCAGAACATGTGAGCATTTAAAGAGCGAACGTATCATCACACTAAATTACATTTCACTGTAATTAAATAAAAAATCAGAAAGATTTATATCGTTAAACGTAAGACTTTTGTATTTATTTCAATAATAAACAAAACTGCATTAAGTGTAACAACATACGTGCACATAATCATTTAATGAATAATAATATTGTGTAAACCTCAAATGCAAATGGAATTTATTTTGTACACGTCTCGACTTAAGAACTCTATATATTTAACAAACTTCTCAAATGCAGTTCGTCGTTATTGTGCACTGAGTTGTAACGAAGAGCAAATGCACAACGTTAAATCTGTGAAAGATGGAACCATCAGTAAAATAGAGAGATTGTCTTCGCTCAACTTCCAAGGCGATCACAGTATATCTGTATTGAAAGCAGCGATTAGGTTTACGGAGGGTTTAAGAAATACCAAAATTGATAAAGACGTGGAACCTATGTACAGCCCGTTTGTAACGAATTCCACTTCTTTGAGAGATGATATCGTGGAGAGTAGCTTCGATAGGAATAAGATTATCCAGAACGCTGTCGTTTTAGAGGAAGAATACTTTGTAGCACCTTCGAGAACTATTTCGAAAGAATGAATATGAAACATGCGTTGGCAAAGCTCGGTGCAAATTTCGTTAGCCTCACGGAACAGAAATTTGCATACGGGCCTCAAGGTAGCATGGTTTTGAGGAATCTTGAAGAGCAGTGGTTCCTGCATTGTGTTACGATGTCTCGGTATAATATATTCTTATCAGAGAAAGTGAGCGATACTCTAAATTTTATTGTAAAAAGTTCGACGAGCGATGTACCTTTTGGACTAGCTGTAATAGAGAATTCCAAGAATTCTTGGAATCAAAGTGTAGCTATCGATAGTAAATGGAAACACCAAAGAATAGGTACGATAACTATTTTTAATAATGATATGGAATCCAAAGACTTGTATCATAAGCTACAAAAGGAACGTAGAATTTGGTGGCGTAAGCTAGCGCAACGTCCCTCTAGGTTTAAAGTTACAGAGCCGAAGAAAAAGAAGAACTTGGATACGGTGGACATTGAGGCACAGTTTCCTTTTGGAACTGTCGTTGTGGAGAAAATCACTTATCACACGGATATTCAGAAAATGTTTAGCGAGGTGCTTTGTTTTTCGTTTTCTTTGAATTTACATAAGTTTTAGAAATAAGAATCATTTATATGGAGTATTTTATTTTTCAGATCGATAATAAAAAAGATTTTACCAACGTACAAATGGTGGAACATACAGTATGTTTGGATTGGGGTTGCTTAGCACTACTCTGCGATGCTTACGACACAGACGAATCAGCCAGAATGCAGATACATTTCAAGCTAGCACCACACAAGGTCGCAATTTGTATAGAAGAGCGGAAGAATGATGTTGGAAATGATGATTTAAATCGCTTTGTACTTTACTTAAATAACATGCTAAGAACAAAAGGCCTGAACACTATATTAACCAGCCCGTGTGTCGTGGACACGTGTTTGGTTCCTTTCGTGGTTTTAGTTCACAGGACTAGTCTCGAAAATGGCATTATACGTATAACAAATAGGTCAACAACTCTCAGCGAAGCGATTCACATAACCGATTTGGCAAATTATATAATTAAGTATTGTTAAGACCAACGAACGACAATAAAGTTTTACGTGTCGAGTCTTTAAAATATATTTTCCAGTGGTGTTATTATTTCTCTTCATCGATAAAGGAATACAACAGATTTTCAGAAACAGGAAGTTTTGTTTCTGTTTCGTAGTTGAGATATATTATTCGCTAATTCGTCAAATATATTCAGCTACTTTATTTTATAATAGTATCTTCAAAAAATTTCACCTATTAAGGTATCGACAAGAACATTCCATTAAAAATAAATGTAACAGACTTAAATACGAAAGAAGTTTGCGCATGGATGTTGTAATGGTGAAAGTACAAGAAGATCGGAATGCTTTCGTACTTGATAAAATGTACACTTTATACACCAGCATTCCTCGACTGAATATTGCCAAAATTTATATAAACTAAATTGTAGTATGATGTCGCTCTGGGGAGCAAGTATCGTTCTTCAAATAATAATACTTCTAAACAGCTAAGCAGGTAGTTGCAGCTTCTTGCCTTTCAATACTTTGGTAATGTAGAGATAGAAAAAGTCACAGTAGAGAACTGTCTGCACTAAGCCAGCAACTATGGCGATTAAATCGTAGTGATCCTCTGCGTAGTAACGATACACCCAGTTTAATAAATAGAGCCCTCTGTACGATCCCAAAGCGAACAGGTAGTGGCTGGTGATGCTCTCCGCCTCTCCCGTTTTTGATACTAAAAACAATTGGGGCAATATTGCTACGGACTCCAAGTAGATGCTGAACGTCCATAAAATTTCCACGACTGTGAACTCGTGGTTGATTAGTAACGCCAGTACCAGCGTGGGGAGAACTAGAAACTCGATCCTGAAAGAGTAAACGAAAGTTAAAGAATTTAAATGTAAAATAGTACCCATACTCTATGGATTTTATTGCAGATGGAGAATGGAGAATTATTCGGTGTGAAAAGGAGGAACGCACCTGAACGTGTCGTGGTTGTGGTCGTAGGTGGCTTTGAATTTAGCGTACATCAGGAAAACAGTGGCGTAGGAGGTTGCGATGAAAATTACTTTCATAAATGTGTTGTACGCTGAGATGTAAGTTGTCACCAGGTCTAGATAGCGCATTGTGTAGACAATAGCGAATAGAATTTGTGATTTGCCACTGATACCTGCAAAATAGAACTCAGGAATGTAGATAAATTAGGTTTCGTGATGGTTAATGATTGTTTGAACTGTTATAGGTTGTTTTCTTGTGAATATGTAAATACGAGTATATATACCGGCACAGCTTCGAGTTTTCCATATTTTTAGGAGAAGGATGATAATCGCGAGAAGATGCGATAAGTCACCTAAGAGACGAAATATGTTCATATTTTCAGTTATTGAAAGGCAAAGTTTTATAAGAAAGTAAGACTTCACAGACCTAACTCGCAAAGCATACAAAATATGACGTGGCTCTGACTGCAACATCTGCAGATGGCCGACCGATCAGCCTCGTTTAATTTCGACCGCGTTCCGAACGTCTACAACGCGAAGTACGATGTTTTACGAATACTTTCGAATTTCATATTTTATTATCCGACGTTTTATTCGAGAAATATTTTTAAAAGAATTGGTATATATATATTACGTGATTAAATCACGTAATAATGATTCAGTAATTATATTAGGTATTCAAATTTCTGGTGTATTCGCAGAGTGATCTTAACATTAATTTTGTAGTAGATTATGATAGGGACAATTTTTATTTAAAAAATATTTTGTACAAAAATGTTGTACTTGTTTTTCTGAGAGTTACTACTTTATTGTATTTTATTCTATGTCTTGGACTTTCTTGGGTCCTCTAAGGTCTTTCTACATCCTCCTATTTATAGGATTGTATCAGTTAATGTTTTAAATTTATCATTTCAATGAATATTTCATTTATTGTAACGATATGAATTGAAGATTTAAATCGCGCGCGCATTTTAGGGCACAGTGGCGTCATCGGTGGCGAAACGACCAAGTTTTTAGTGAAAATAGTTCCCATTGTCGCCGCTAGATGAAGCAATTAAATGCGTCAGTATAGCACTTGAGACTATAATAAATTTATGTTCAGAATATAAGTGGTTTTATTTTCAAATTTTAATGATTACACGTTTGAACAACCAGAAAGTAATAAATTAATTAACAAAATCAATCATAAATTCAAAAAGATAAACGAAGCAAAAGACGGTAAAAGAGATCCTCTTCTGAATCGATAAAGAAGATTCCGCCAAAGTTCAGGTGATAATCCACTGCGGTGTCGATAAGGAAGTTACCATTATCAGGTATCGGCAACATCAGTGGCACCATCGGTGGTAGAACATCCAAGTTTGTAGAGGAAATAGTTCCCATTGTCGCTGCTAGATGGCACCACTGATGCTTTTAATGAATTATATCTTTTATTTGCCGTAAATGCATTATTAACACGATTCATTGCTTTATAACGCTACCCTATATTAGTTAATGTCTTAAATTTACCATTTCAATGAATACGATCATTTATTGTAACGATACAAATTTGAGACTCACTTAGCCCACTTCAAGCTCTCAATGGAAAAATATTCAATTAGCACACTAATGAATATATTATAAAAATTAAACAACAACTATTTCAGATCAGACAATCTACCAACCCTAACAAACAAATTGCTTTTGTGTGGATACCATCCCACCATGGCATAGAGGGAAATGAACTAGTAGACCAAGCAGCGAAGAAAGCCTCTATAGACTATCCAAACCCAAACAACCGCATTTCCTGCTCGGATCTATTTTACCATCTTGAATCAACAATGTGGACCAACTCAGAAAGAAGTTGGATCCATAAATCAGAGAACAAAGGCACACTCTACTTCAGGTTATATTATAAATCAACGAGAAAACCATGGTTCCACAATTGAAACCTTCCCAGGAGTGCAACGACTTGGATCTCCAGATACAGAAGCAATCACTACAATCTGGCTGCCTCCCTCTTGAGGGTGGGGATTACACAAAATAGCAACTGCAGCTGTGGACACGCTTTACAAGACCTGAACCACATCTTATGGCACTGCGCCCTCTTCAATCAACACAGAAGGAAGATGATAAAGGACCTAGAACAACTGGGATGGTTCCCACCATATGAAATTGAAGAATTCCTTCCTCGATATCAGCCCTCAGGTTTATCTCAAGATTCATTGCAGATAATAAACTGCAAATATAGCCTCTGCTATCTTTCTGTACATCAAACACTTTCTGAATTATAACAACACCAAAGTGCACATATTGTAGTAATCCAAACAATGCTTTAGACACATCTCTAATATGCATATACATAAACTACATTACATATTCTGTATAATCAAGTAAATATAAGAAGTCTTAAGTTCATATAGTTATTACTAGTAGTAAGTTCATATATTGTATAAGATTGTATATCACTTGACCAGGGCGTATGGATCTGAATTGGTTCGAAGCCTTTAATAAACAGAACAGAACAGTAGGCGCAGAGGTGCCCCTCTTTGATTCATCCAGAACTAAACCATTACACCGTCATATAAATAGACCAGTGACTCAAGAGGAATCCCTAGTCTCGACTTAAAAGATCAGGGACATGTTCAAAAGATTTTTCCTACTAAAAAGAAACACATGTAAATAAGCATTTTTCAATACAATTGATTCCTCTTTCAATCTCCATGGAAAATATGGAAATAAATTAAACGAGGAAGACGTTTTTTTAACGTTTTTCATTTTAATTAAAATACTTATAATATATACACTCAGTCCGCAGGTTTCAGGACACGAATAGAGACATTATTGTATGTACAAGTATCAAATTTTGACAATATCGCGGTCTGCCAATACGGAGACATAATTCTTTACCCTACAATACTGTATAAAAATGAGAGATACGTAAAGAGAAGTCTAATAGGCGTTATAATCTACGTCAAAATCGACTTTCGAATATATATATCCTTTCTTTATACTGTCGTCGAAAGTCGATTTCGACAATGCACTGGCCACTATTGCTCGTTAAGTTATTCCAAAGTTCCTAGGAACTTTGCGTGGCGAAACGTTACATCCTTGAAAAAAATGCTAGGGAATTAATTCCTTGCTATCTTTGTGGATTCCTTATTTCCAGTCACGTGCTCCAAATCGAGGCTATCGTATTCGAGGCCCGCGGTGTTATCATAATAGGCATAATCGTAGTCGTTCTTCTTTCCAGACTTTGGTCGCGCCGTAGTTGTAGGAGGCAGCCTGGTCGTGGAGGAGAACGGTCTCGCGGATCCACTCACGTAGGTACTTCCCCGAACGGTGGTTGGCGACTGTGGCGGCCTCTGCGTGTTCGAATTGAAGCTGTTGGGATTGTACGTGGTTACTGTTGAGAGCCTCCTGCAAAATAAAAATGATTGTCAACTTTGCTAGTCACGGATTTCTAATAAAACGACATGATTCTGTTCAAATTGATGCACAGTAATTAATGCAAGAAATGTAAGCTTTGGGTTCTTTTTCAATAAAATAATTGACCCAGTTCTAGAAATTTAGAGCATGCCTAGTTTCAACTAATATATAATATGTCACTTAATATTTGTATATTCACTCACTTAATATTTGTCAGAAAATTAAAATACACTTGCTTCGATTAATATATGTGAAGTAATGTATGCGAATGAATATTGATCCTCGCTTAGTATGTGGCAGAGAATTAAAATATACTTAAAATACACTTGTAGTAAGATGTATAGTAATATCTTCTTGGCACGATATGATTGTGTTCAAATTAATGCACAGTAATTAATGCAAGAAATGTAAGCTTTGGGTTCTTTTTCAATAAAATAATTGACCCAGTTCTAGAAATTTAGAGCATGCCTAGTTTCAACTAATATATAATGTGTCACTTAATATTTGTATATTCACTCACTTAATATTTGTCAGAAAATTAAAATACACTTGCTTTGATTAATATATGTGAAGTAATGTATGCGAATGAATATTGAGCCTCACTTGAAATATGTCAGAAAATTAAAATACACTTGTTTCAACAAATATATGTGCAGTAAATATATGGAAATGAATATTGAGCCTCACTTAATATTTGTCAGAAAATTAAAATACACTTAAAATACACTTGTAGTAAGACGTATAGTAATACCTTGGCACTGGGGTGGTAGATCTTGGAGTCTCTGCCAAGTGGTTGATGCTTGCAGGGCTGAATCCGATGCCAACCGATGACCTGGCAATGTCATAATTGCTGGTGCTGGTTTCGGTGTAATATTTCCCATTGCTTTCATAATTGTTGTACTGTGTAGCCTTCTTGGGTGCCTTGGTACTGTCATAATATTGGGATGAGCTTTTGATTGGCTGGTTGGTCTTATCGTAGTACTGTCCATTGTCGTTACTCCTGATGGAGGTCTGAGCTTGACTGTTGTCATTGGTAATGTACTTCTTCGTAGCTGGACTGTAAGTGGTAGGAGCATAGCTGCTGCTTGCGTAGCTCGGGAAGTATTTTGTGGTTGACTGAGCGATGTCTTGCCTCGTGGACGTGCTCCTAAATTGTCCGTTATTGTTATTGTTGTAAGTATTGTCGTAAACGGTAGGTGCTTGAGTCGTGGACTGGTATGCCACGTTGTTACTTGTACGCTGAATGTTGTTATAATTTCTCTGGAAGTTTGTGTAGTCGTTCGCCTGGTAATTGGTGCTGGGTTGCAGGGTAGTGGACTGTGCTATCTGTCCACCGTTGTAATTCTGATAATTCTTGAAGGTGGTTGGTTTCACCGTGGTACTCTGACTGAAGCTACCTGTAGTTTGTTGATTATAATTTGAATTGGCATTGTAAGCATTGTAAACAGTTGTCCTGGAGGTCGTGCTAGGAGACTGGAAGTTGTAATTGTCCTGGTAAACAGCTGTGCTAGGCCTGTACGTGGAAGGTGACGCTGAATTGAATCTCTGATTGTTCTGGTTCCTGTTGTAATTTTCTTGAGGCCTCGCGCTGGTGGAAGAGACGAATCCATTGGCTCGTTGATTGTAATTGGCACCGCTGTAGAACCCAGTGTAGGTGTTCTGGTTGTTAATCGCTGGAGGTGGTGTGGTGCTGGAAGTGGAGTAGTAATTGTTGTCGTTGAACTGCTGCTTCCTGCTGACCTTTCTGACACCTGTTTTTTTTCTAGTATCAGGAACACTTTCTTCTTTGTAGGCCTTCTCTGCCTGGTAATCCTCGTCCTTGTCATTTCTGTTGTAGACGTTACCACTGCTGCTGACCCTCAGGTCCCTGTGGTTGTTGTTGTTGTTGTTGTTGTTGTAATTAGTGGAGGACACCCTATTGAAATTGTTGGCAGAGGAACGAACAGGATCACTGGTCTCGCTCCGCTGCAGGTGATCCTGAGGCTCAACGTCGTTGCGTATGTTGTCGTAGTGAGGAGATTCCAGGCCTGATCCGATCCTGTACAGGTCGAAGTTGTCGCTGGCGTAGTAAAGAGTGGCTGCCTCGCAGTCCACGTCGTACCAGTCCGCGCAGGTTTGGCTTTCTTGGTCGAAAGCGGTGTCGTTGGGACATAGGAACCTTCGGAAGCGAATTAAATTATTAGCGAACGTGAATATTGGGAATGCTTGGGATTTTTGAGGAATCCCCTATGTATAAGTACTTTTTGGAAATTAATTATTCAAGAATGTCAAATTTCCGGTTATTTTGATGGCTGAAATTGTATCCATGAATCTCCTATGTAAAAGTACTCTATGCAAATAAATTAATTATACAAGAAAGGAACAAATGCGAGCATTCCTTGATGGTTTAAGCAGCCCCCTAGGCGTAAGGCGCATGCGCAGTAGAAATGGGAAACTACCTATCTGAATAGTTCATGGTTGAGTGATCAACCGATGTTTCTAGGTTTCTCATTGGCTTACTTGTAATCCTGGACGGAGCCTGACACAGACACGCAAACGTGGAACACTTGGCAGTCGGTCTCAGGGTCGGCATAATAGCTTCCTACGATTTTATTACGACAGCTGAAGGAAGTTTCCGGCATGTATTGTTGGGAGTATCTGGGCGGTGGTCGTTGAAGCGCGATGACGCAGGTTCCTAACACAGCCACTGCAGCAGAAAACAATTCGAGGTTGACGCGGAGGAGTTTCTGGTTATCTTGATGTTTCGAAAGCGTTTGGATATTGGTAACGAGCACTGGGAGCCACGCGAGAATCGTTATGAAAGCGACGGGAATGCGTTTATCTTTGTTTCGACACGTATTTTGCATTTCGATCCGAGTGGAAATTGTTGACACTGTATTTGGGTCGTTAGGGGATTTCAAATACAGGGTGTTCCAGAAATGTTGGAGGTCCTTGAAAGAGGTGGTTCGGGAGGGGATTTGAAATAACTTTTTCCTTAGCGAAAATGTTGTCCGAGGCTTCGTTGAGGAGATATTAACGGAAAACACTGACCAATCA